CATTTTGATTAGGCAGAGGAGGGGGAGGGGGGGAGCTGAACCTTGGTCCTGGACCTTGCACACAGCTACTAAGTGAAGCTTAGGCTCATAAAGGTATGCTTTTGATTGTACCAGTACTTTTCCTGTTTAGCTGGATGCTTCATGGAATCTCTGTTAAGGAGCCAAATATAATGAATGAAGTTGCCTTTGAACTGCTTTGATCAAGAGATGATTACATGATACGAAGTCATTGGCAAGGATCTATTTCTTTAGATCTTATGGTCCTCAATTGAATGGAATAGAAAAATGGATTCTTGTATCCAACCCCAACAAGCTTGGAATTCAGTCCTAGTTGAGTTGTGGAATTTGGTCCAAAAGAAGAGGTTAAGAGCTGCATGGACTTCCAAGTTTCCAAATGTTTGAATCCTTGACATAATTTTGCCGATAAACTCTTGTTACATTGAATTTCCAATTGTTTGAGATGGTTTTCATCTCATATCCAGAAATGAGATTAATGGCTGGATTAGGAGCTGCAAGTTTTCCTGTTCCGTTTAGTCCTTGCCCATAGTTTCTTTGGCTTCATGTTCACCCTAGGGCTTCTCATTGTAGCCATATTCAGGTTCCTATAAATAAAGCATTGAATATTAATGTGTTCAAACTCTTTGTATGGTGTTTCAATTCTTTTATTTTTGGGGCACTATGCTGTGTATACCATTTAAAATTTTCTTGGACATCACTTTCAGCGGGGAAGAACTAGGCCTGGTGGTGCTGTTATTATTGAGAGGTTAATTTTGGTATTTAGAACCCACCTTTTTTTACCTGTCTTACTGTTTGTTGGTTTCAGTGAAAGCTACGTCTGAACTCCGAACTGTATATGACGGTTATCTGGAGATAGTTTGCTGAGAATACGAGGCTTTCAGAGTTTGCATTTCTCTTTGATGATGGGAATGGCATTCCCTTGTCTTCTTTGCCAATTCTGTCATTTTCGTCCCGGGCAAATATTAAAATAAGGAGAGTCCTTTGCTACATGTGCACTGCTGCACAAATTTGTCTTTAGGATACAACAAAAGTTTGATTAAATCTGTGCTGCGACATGGTCTCAATCAACGGTTCCAAGGGTTTAGTAACTCTCTGACCATGTTTGGATAGAACAGAGATGAAAGTTGCTTGCTGAACGGCCCCTAAAAGAAAAAGAAAAACATTCTATTTCTTGCATTGCAAGTCTATGCAGTGAAAGTTGTTGTAAACTGGGTGTATAATCCCTGCAAGTCGATGAAGATTCTTTACGGAGAATTAATGGGTTCAATCGATAAAAACAGTGTAATTAGCTATTTAAAACAGAAATATCCAAGCATCTACTATTTTTAATATATGGAACAGTTCACCAAAAGGGCCTTGTGTAGATTCCTTACCAACCAATCACTCTGCATGCCAATTGCAATCACCCACGAGTCTTGTAAACAGAGTAGCATTCATATTTCCATGTGAATATGTACAAAGTGTTTCATATAATATTATTATGATAATTAATTTTAAGGATCCTCCTCTTCGGGCCTTCTAGGCAGTTTAAAAGAAGTGAAAATACATCAGAGAAAAATGAATGTTCTTCGCCTTCAATTTTGCTACAACTTTACTATCAGGAATTCTTAATGTACTAGAAGTTTGGGACCGTATTCCAAATTGCAGTCCATGCTTTTCGAATCCAAAGTCTTGTTTTACCTGGACAGTGTCAATCAAAGATATTTTACAATATCTACTTTTCTTCCGTTTTTGATCCAGGCTAAGACACACGTGGGTGATCCTATCACTCACATGTCTGTGTCGAGCTTGCATCATAGCCTTAGTCATGCAACATTACTTGGTAACAATATCCGTTAGCCATGAACGACAAGTTGAAGAAAATATTTTGGTCAATTAAATGATCACGGGAATGTCACTTCTTATATGATGCTTAAATTTAACCCTTCTCTACTTTCAATTCTGCAGCACTCAAAGTTAGAAGAAAAAAATCCCGTTTGATTTGTATGCAAGTCCGTGAAGTCTGAGAAGAAAATTAGTCTGAATTTTCCTTGATAGGAAGCAAGTTGGATCATGTTTATATACATATCTGTCTTCATGCAGCAGATACTGCGACTAGCTGGCAATTCAATTTGGTCGTCTTATGTTAGCTTGCTAGTTAATTGATAGGAGTTTTGATTGTGAAAGAAGAAAGATTGGAGCCTTAAGTTAGCAGCCTTGCACGAATTAATCATGACTGTATCAATTGAAGCTTTAGCAATGGCAGGGGTTGATTATAATGAATGGGGTTTGGATGTTGAAAAGTGGGAAGCTGATGATGATTCGGAATGGCCTCCTCCGCATTTACTAGCAGAAGAGGAAGAAGAAAGGGTTGCGAAACGTGGCTTTCAAGTCACCGGCACTAGCTCGCAAACCCGTTCTTCGGAAGATTTTGATGGCGATTCTGATGACATTAATGCCAGCAAAGGCGCCACTCTAGAAGGCAGCCATGGAAGAGTGTCTCAAGGAAGGGCATTGGTTGAGAGGATAATACATTGCTTAAGGTCAACAAAGCCGATGGTCAGATACATCATAGGGCTATTAATGATTGCAAGCATTGTTCGGAGGAAGAGATTTCAGAGGTCATCTTGATGCCATGCCATGAAAACAAACTTGATTCCGATTACTTCTTAATTAATTCTCACTTTCTAATTAGATGTCCAAGCTAGTCTCTACATTGTAACTTGTTTTCCTTTCTTTTTTTCTCAGTTTCTTTAACATTTTTTTCTTCGATTCTGTATGGTTTAGTGAGTCATTGATGGCTTAAGGCAACTGCCATAATGCAATTAGAGCCCATTTGTCCTTTCTTTTCTTTGAATGAATAATACCGATTTTTTTTTCTGGAAGATTCGATTCAATGATCCACCCATTTCTTTAGGCATCCCCAAACAGAGAAGCATGTGAAAATTTACAGGATAATTTTTTTCTTTCTTTTTCCTTTTTTTTTTTGGCTTGTTTGTTTCCAATAATTAATACTTATTATCAAATTGAATGCAATGACCATGTGTGAACTACGAAGCTGGTAAAAACCATTTCCTTGCTCATGGCTGATGAATTGAATAACCATACCCATTGTAACCTTTTTATTGATTAAGTAACATCTTTAACCAGTTTAAAGATGATAAATCTTATGGATGGAGAATGATAAATTACAATTGTTCTAATGCATTTTTTCTAATTGAATTTTATGATATCTACCACGCAAGTTTCATAAAAAATAAAATAAATCATGCATATTATTGATTGTGATTAAATAATTATAAAAAATATAATAAAAGAATTGATTCTAAATATATAAAAATCCCAACTTCTTTTATATTATTATAAAGTTGAAAATGATTTTAAATTTCAAACCAAAGGAAAATGCAAGAGCAGGTTTCTCTAAAAGCATGATTAAGATTACATTGGTAAATTCAATTCAATATATCCCAAATTTTTGTCATGGACTATATGATTTCTAGCTATTATTAAAAGAGCTCTTTCATGTTTTCAAGCACATTTGTTTATTGCTCCCTAACAATTGAAAATTATAAATAACCCAAATCCCACAAAGAAGTTACTTAATAATTTGGTGTTTCGTTATTCCCATTCAGGGGCTGTAGTTAATAGCTGTCAACTTCTTTTTTGTTTCTTAGTTAACATCCATGTACTTCAATTTTTTGAGAAAAATAAAAGGTCAGCTAACTATATACATGCATCATTGCTATAGTCAATGGTGAAATCAAGGTTTTATATTTGAAGGAATGGCATCTCAAGAGTGACAACATTTTGTGAAAGACTCTTTTTCTTAAAATAAGATTCAATTCTCCTAACGACAATCTATTTCCATAATTTAATTTTTTTTAAAATTATTCAAAGGAATCAATCTTAATAATTTACTTAAAATAATTAACTACTATAATCATAAATAATTTAATAATAAAAATAATCTTAATTCAAAGATAAACTTAACATCAAACAAAAATTAACAAATATAATAACGAAAATCTTAAAGGAAAGTAATACCCTAAAATATATTAAGTTCTATCAATAAACAATTCAATGAGAAGCAATTCCCTAAAATTTATCACAAAAATTAAATACAATATCAATAAACAATTCAATAAAAAAGCAATTCTCGAATAAAAAATTTAATTGTTTACAAGAATCTAACAAAAAAAATAATTTGTAGGTAAACAATTAAGCAATCTCTAAATAAATAAGTAATAATTAATTTTAGGTGTTTAGTCAGATCCTTATTTTGTTGCTTTCAACAAAAAATGACTAAGGGGATAAATTTTAAATTAAAATCACTAAATAGAAACTATTAAATTAAGAAAAAGTTTAAAGTTGAAAATATTAAAAATAAAATAATAGTAAATAAACTAAATTTATTAATTATTGTGATATGAAAATTAAGTTATAGACTATGGGTTTAATGTACAAAGAATGTTCAAACCAAAAAAGAGTAAGGAACAAAAATGATTTTTTGGTTTCTATTTGGTAAGAAAAAAAAATAAGAAGTGATGGTTGTAAAGTTTTGAGAAGTGAGTTTTGAGTATAATTCTATTGTTATAGATTTAATTTTAGTCTTAAGTTTATTAAAATTAATTATTAATTAATTATTATAAAACATTTCACTAAATTAAAAATTATTTTACAAATAAAATTATAAAATATTAAAAAAATAAAAATATGTTAAAAAATTTAAAATTTTCGTAGGTAGGAAATAATATTTTTTTAAAAAAATAAAAATAAGTTTAAGATTGTTAAAATTGTTAGAGGGGCGGCGGCCCCACTAGCCCACCCTCCCTCCGCCTCTGGCCATAATCAGCACATCAGTTCGAGAGTTTGGCTTCGTGCGGCTGACATCAAAATCAGCATTGAACAGAGTAGTCGCAGTCAATTAATAAGACTAATGATCAGTCACGATTCACGAGAACATTGCTTTTAGTATGATGCTTATCTCAACTTCGAATCTGTTCTTCCTTGTCTCTGCTTTCTAGTCTTGCATGTTGAATGCATGTTTCGTTTGACCAGCACCCAAGCACGTGAATTTTCAGAAGAAACAGTTAACAGATCATCTTCCTGATCTTGATATTATATATATTAATTATCCCGATCGCCGTGTTCATGCAACAGCTCTTTCATTGCTAGAAATTACAAGTATTAATTATAATCTCCAGAAAGGATTAAAGGATCTCAGTTATTTTCTCTTATTAGGAGTGTAAAACCAAAAGAAGAAAAGTCCACGGATCCAGCCATAACCTTTCCAATTTTAATCATGTCAGTTTCAATCGAAGCTTTGGCAATGGCAAGGCGCCGATTACTCACAATAGGGTAAGGATATTGAAGAATGGGAGCATGAGGAGTTGGAACTAACTCCGCCCCATTTACTTGCTGATCAAGAAGATGAAGAAGAAGGAATCTCACATCATAATTTCAGCTATGGGTTCCCTTTAAACCATTTCAGTTCGCTAAACTGTCATTCACAGGACAAGAGCCATGGAGATGGTGAAGATGACAGTGACTCATAGTCACCGTAGATTGTAGTTTTCCATTTTTTCTTTCCTTTTTTTTTTCAACATTTGTTCATCCTTTTCTTGTCCATAATAAAATTGTTATTGATTTTTGCGTTTGGAGATTTTTTTGGGTTTTTTTTTTTTTAGATTGTCTTCTATGGATTAATTGATGAATTATGAGAAACTATGGAGAAAAAAATATTAGCTACACGTTTTGAAAAATATATGAGTATTATTCGATAAGTCTCATTTTACTTGATCCTAGTTTGTGATTTAGAGGAAAGTGAGATTTGAAATTTTCAACTTTGCTATTTGATGTTTGGATACTTATTTGGTTCTTATTAAACTTTTTGATGTTAAGAAAACTATTTTGACTTTTGTTTATGTTATATTAATTTTTAGTTTTTTTTTTGTAAAATTGATCATTTATTATATTTAATATAAAAAACAGAAAAATAATTTTTATGTATAAAAAGGTAAGAGCATTAAGAGTTAGAAGAAAAATAGTTTTGTAATATCGAAAATAAGACCAATGAGCAAAGAAAATTGATGATTTTTTTTATTAAATTAAAAGTAAAGAATTAAAATTTCAAAAAAAATTTATAAATTTGATCCATTATATTAAGTAAAAAGTATATTTGGACTTTATCCCCAAATATAATCAACTAAATAAATTCTTATGGAAAAATAAAATTAACAAGCCAACATATAGATCTAGAGAAAATGCATTAGTATAAAATTAGAGCAAAATAAGAAAGAAAAAACAAGGAAAATTGATGACTTTTGA